CCCCCCCTTTGAAAAATCCTGGCTACGCCCCAGATACTACATATGCAACTGTAACTGCACAAATACGATAGTAGTTGCCTCTTTCAGCGAGCGAGGCAATGATATGCACTACGGTGTAAAGAATATCAACTAAGTCTCGTGTTTCATTACTTTCCATACTGCATGTACAGTCCAGTTTCACTGTATATTAGGTAAAGGTAAAGAATCCGATTCCACTGACTCGTCGGGCAACGTGTGGGCTGACACACTACCGACACACTACCGACACACCATACCGACACACTACCGACACACTACCGACACACTACCGACACACTAACGACACACTACCGACACACTACCGACACACTAACGACACACTACCGACACACTACCGACACACTACTGAGCGCGGCGTAGGTTCGGTTATCGATCGGAGGTACCATGAGCCCTTTCTTTGCTTTTTGCCGCAAAACTTTTATTGCAGAAGGCGAGAAGCCGTGTTAACCTAAGATTCATCGGAACACCAAATTGGATGGCTTGTTCCTTTCCAAAATGTGTACGTGTAGTAAGATAGTTCCAGAACCAATCCACGCTGCTTCCTCTCTCTCCGGATTGTTCTAGCTTATAGAGTATACATTCGTGGTCGACTAAGTCAAAAGTTTTTTTCAAGACAATAAACACAGCGCCAGTAATCATTTGCCTATGGATCCATGTGATCCAAAATGTTCTGCTGATGTCTTTCTCTCTTTTATTAAGATGCGGCCAGTCCATTTCTATTTCCTTCGTTTTGTCATTGCTGCTTCATCTTTTTGTCCTGTTTTTGCTCATAGTTCCATGCTCGTGATGACTTTCGGTTAAAGGATGCCAAGTATATCTGGCAGAGTCTTTTCATCAAAATTTTACGTCTGCTTTTTAGAGAGCTTTCAATTGATTAATCGCCAAGTTTTTGACCCGTGTAGAAGTGCTGATTTGACATTTCAGTTGACCATCCTCAACTTCGTCGTGAGACTGAGAGAGCTCTTGCTTTCCAGACCGCTCTGATACATGTAAACGTTTGGCTCCTTCTTGGTACTCTTCCTAGTACTCAGTACTGCTGCAGGATTTGTCAAATCACATCCCGATCCCCTGAGTCCAGTGTTCCATTCCAATAACAATCTAAACTTATAACTACCGGCCCGAGAGAACAGGCTGTCATCGGTCTGAAAATAAGCTCAGAAGCCTGTGTAAACAACATGGCAGAGAGTGTGACCTAACTTCGGAACACCGTCATCATCAAATTTTAATTTACCGAGTTTTTATGGCCAGATAAGGAGATGGGAACTCTTTTTCAAGGCAACGGAGGGGAGGACATTGTGATAAATTTGAGTTGCTGTTTTGTTTGTTTGTTTGTTTTTATTAGGAAAAAGTTAACGATAATCTCAAAGTATTTCGAAGTGACGGTTCCTCTATATCACTATGACGTTTGGGGTTCCGAGCCGTTTTCGCATACAAAACCGACTTTTGACTTGCTGAATACATTTGGTTGTCCTACGTGAACTCATCCCAAAAGAAAATATGCGTTTAGAAGCCGTGTGATAGACCCTCAAGACGTCAAGCAGGTATTAAGCGGTCATCGGATCAGGATTTGAGAGATAAAAGTATACGGCAAAACTGAGAAATTAAATCTACTTGTGTACAGATGTTTTTCCTGGAATCGCTAAAATTAATTAATACAGTGGTCTGTTTTGACGTAGATATTTTGTAATTTTTATTTTGCTCACCACCAGTTCAGATAAGAACGCGAGGCGCCTCTCCCCCAGACTCAACCCTGCCGGATCGCTTCGCTTTTCGCCGCTCGCGCGTGTGACTCAAACAGGAGCCTGCTCGCAAGCAAAGCAAGAACGAGGACATCGAACAACGTAAATGACATACCAAATAAGAAAAAAAAAAAAAAAATACCACAAATCTAATATTTTTCGTCTGTTTACTTTTACATTTTATAATATTCTTACTGTGACTTTTCACGGGCTTTCCGCGCGTTACATCCTTGAATCACGCAATTTTTTGTTATTACCATAAACCTATGACACCACTTTGTCTTTTTGCCGAAGAGGTAGCATTACAATGTAATTTATTTGGCTTAGTTTACACTTAGCTTACACTAGCCGTGTTAAACGCGAGAACAATCTGGCCCGGTGATTTGAGTCCTTTGAACACTGTTGAAATATGGATACATTTTGGTATATTACGTAATATTTCACATGACAAATGAGAGATCTCCGACTGATCTTTAGACAGTGTGAAAGTCGAAAGATTGTGCAGTACTTGTAACCTGAGTGTCACACAACACTTCATTTGAACCACAATGGCGTTGAAGAAACTCACCTCCCTTCTTATGGTTTTTGCCTGTCGTTTTATGCTGTTTTTAGTCATTTCACTTTTGTCCAGTATTCTTCAAGGAATACCAAACATCAACAGCTGTTTTCTAACGGTGAGTATTTTTAATTTAAGACGTTCAAGAATCGCTTTTCGATTTTTTGATGGGGATATATGAAACTCTCGTACGACGGTACGATTGCCAAATCTTATTCGGCTATCAGCTGCAAAATCTTTTGGAACTGATCTTTCCAGCTCTATCTGAATGAACCATGAACTGGCCGGAAGGGTTGAAGGGTTGTAGAAATAGTGTAAGATGAATCGTTATTGTGTTACACTGCCGATCTTGAGAGTTTGTTTGGGAAAAAGTAATTTGAGTGCAGCTTTCAATTCATAGGACATGACAATCGAAACCATTATAATGCTCCGCTGCAAGACTGTACCGGCCAGTATCTACTCGTTATAAGAATGTTATTTCGTCATTGACGCGAAGACGGTAGTGCTAGTCTGCTGTTCATAATCCAAGAAGACCGTTGCCCAAAGGTCGCGGTTTAAATGATGAATCATTGGTACATGCCTCTCATGATGTCCGCCTGTTTCATGTTTGTCGCCTGTGGGGGGTTACAATTCAGTGTTTTCGGATTTGCTCGCGGCGTAAAATGATATTCGTGTGGACTGAGTACATGCTCGTGCGCTGTGCATGTGAATGCAGGCAGATTGCTATAATGTGATAACAGAATTGGTTTCCATTCATGTAGCTTCTGATCCCATACCAAGCCGTTAGTCTGTTCGTCACGCAAGGTTTTAGGAGCGTTGCGTGACGAACCAGATCACTACATATAGAGGGGGACATGCGGATTTGCGGTGTTGCGGTNTAACTCGACCTCTGCCACCCGGAGCTCAGTGTTCGGTAGACACGTGGAGGAGCGAGGACAGAAACAATCCTGGAAATTCTGGAAACGCCGAGGCCGAAATGAAATGTATTATTAACTGCGCAGTTTTTTTCTACGAAAAAAGGAAAAGGTGGCGAAAACTACTGGCCACAAAGTATACTCAGATGTCGCGTCGGCAGGGAAGAAAGAAGGCTTTCTAAGCCAAGGAAACTTTGTATAAAATTACACATGTTTACTATTTTTTTCGTTTTGCCATTCGGCTTCGTCTAGAGGTCATTCTGATACCAGTCTATTCTCGCTCCAAGTTCCTGCAACTTTCTTGACCTTCTACTTCAGTTTTCAAACGATTATCGATATCGAACGCAAACTCAGCTGGCTCCGGAAAGCAATACTTTCAGTCAAGATAGGACTTCGGTCGGTGGGTAAGTGAGAAAAGTAAAAGAAGAGAGGGATCTGAGGTAAAGGCCATCTCTCGAGGCTCCTCTCTTTTTTCTTCGTCAGCTTCCTAGCTTCGCGCAAGGTTTCTTCACAAGAGCAAGAAAACTGATTTACAGATATCAGCAGTATCGACGTATGCGCAATGAAAAGCGTTGTGATGTGTTTATTTTGTGGAAAATTGTTGAGGTGTAAAAGTATTATTTTAAGTGTAGATGAACGAATCATGGCGCTAAAAATACGTGTTGTGGTGACGGTGTTTCGTTGACTTTTCTTGCGGTGATGCGGTGTTCGGTTTTTTTTTTTTGCGTTGTTGCGGTGTTCAGAACCCCCCATGTCCCCCTCCGTATACGCAGACGCATGTGTGATGGGCCCATAGAGTGTAGTCAGGGTATCGCCTTGGAAAAATGGTGTGAAAAGACTAGAACTCACGTCCGTACATAATAATCTGAGCCTATGGTGATTAAATTTAATAAAAGTTAAACAGGAAGAATGGACCACGGGACAAAAACAGCTGTTTACTTTCCTATGCTTTTTTTCGCTTCAGGTGTTTTTGTCATGTATGATTCCTTTACCGCCAGCCTCGCTTTTACTACATCCATTCGACAAGTTTTTCTCCAAAGTGTTCCAGGTTGTGAGGTTAGTTTCCAATAACACAATAATCTGGATTTCCAGATTGTCACAGAACATTTGAAGTTTGGTGTGTTTGGTCGTCATGTAACGTGTTTCGTGACTTCACAGGAAAATCGCTGAGATAAAATCGAGACCTAAGCACGGTCATGTGCTTTAATTGAACAACGGGGTGTNAAAGTGTTCCAGGTTGTGAGGTTAGTTTCCAATAACACAATAATCTGGACTTCCAGATTGTCACAGAACATTTGAAGTTAATGCTGTGTTTGGTCGTCACGTAACGTGTTTCGTGACTTCACAGGAAAATCGCTGAGATAAAATAGAGACCTAAGCACGGTCATGTGCTTTAATTGAACAACAGGGTGTAAACTCCCTAGGGGGAGGGGGGCTCATATGAAAAGAAAGGGGCGCTTGTCGTACCTTTTAGAGGTTAAAACGCCGTTCTGGTACCTAAAAAAGGTACACAGCAGGAACTTCTACGGTATTGAGCCAAAAAATATGATAATGTGTTGTTTTGGAATTAGAGGTGAAAGAAATTTCGGACGAGCACCCCTCCCCTCCTCCCCCCTTCCCCCTCCCCCTCAGGATAAAACCTTCCAATTTTGCACTAGAGTGAGCTAGTTCAGGGTGAAGAAGCTTAACTTAGGAATGCAGAAGTTTTACTCGATTTTGAGCTTGACAATTTTCTTAATATTGTTTCTTGATGTGACAGAGCTTACACCACGCTTGTTACGAAAGCAGTCACCTTTCCTTATCATGTAGTAATGCACGTTGTTTTGTTTGGCTTGCTGGAAAATATTCTACGCTACTTCATCAACCATGTAAGGTAAGATTCTTTACTTTGTTTGAGTAGTTCTTAGGCCGCATTTATTTTGCTGCGCCGCTCGATCCATCCTCCGTAAGGAAAAAAGATGGCGACTAGCATATTTACGCATAATTCTTAGCACGCCGTTTATATGAAATGGAAAACGTTATTAAGGTCCTCTGGTTGCAATCCCACTTTAGAAGGAGAAAGAGTCAAGGCTTACGGTGCTATTTGTTTCTCCCTTTAGATTTACCATTCCCAAGATAACAACCACAGTAAAATCGAAGGTGTATGTTCAACTTTTACCGTGGATGAAAGCATTACAATACATAATTAGGATGAGCTACTTGACAACAAGGTTTGTATTTCACCGTTTACTTGAAAACTCCCGGACTAGGACTTTAGAAAAACAACTCAGGGATTTTAGGGTGTTGACATTTATTTATAATGATTTCTTGCTAGGTTTGTTTCAAGGCTTACGTTGCGGCTTTGGAAGATTGCACTCACAGCGACTTTTGGTTTCTTTACCAAACTGATTCGCTTACCAATGTTCTTCTTTGTTAGGTAATTATTATATTTAATTAAATTCCGAACCCAATTAATCTGCTTTTCTTTAAAACCTCTGTTTTCATTCGTTCTTGTTTTACACCTCTGTAGGGCTAAGGGCGTTGTCTGTGTCCTTTATCTATTCATTCCCGTGGCCGATTATAAATAACATTGAAAAATGGTTCAGGTCGCCCCTATTACCATGGATAATTCATTTCTAGCTTTCTGATTGGTTAACCGAATCTCGCACAAAATGTCACAGTTGCTTACGTAATACACAGAGTCTGTTTGATGCGAAAGATTCAATTAAGGCTTGTAAAATGCACAACAAAAGCGACTGAACGAAGAAGAAAAGTGGAAAAGAAGCTCACAGTGAGATCCAAAAACCGACGCAATAGACATTTTCTTCTTTCATGGTTTTTGAGCCATCTAATTTGGGGGGCAAACACGGCAATAATTACAGTAAATGTACGGGGAAAATGGAGAATCTAATGTATAACAACTCATGGAAAATTCGAGTTCTGAAGCATTTATGAATTAAACACTTACGATACTGGGTAAAAGAATTAACTGATCTGGTTTGAGGGAAATAGCCTCTCTAGAAAAGCCACAATTAAGGTTTTCATTTTTCCATATACATTTGCCTGTAAAACCGAGTCGCAATTCGCGGGAAAATTTAGAGACGTTTGAATGAAAAATTAAAATCTTCAAATTTGACCAAAAACGCATTCTACTGGGTATCTTTTCCTTGTAACTCATAACATACTCAGAAGGTCGATCACTCTCAACTTATTGGGCATCCGCGAACTTTTACCTTTTCCATGGATACATTTACTGCAATTTTTGCTGTGTTTGCCCCCCAAGCAAGATGGCGTCGCTCAAAAATGATATAAAATATGGCTTAGCAGTTCAGTAAGGTTTGTTTGTTTGTTTTCTTGTCCTTTACTTAATTCAACGAGCCTTGTCCCTGAGTTTGAGCTTGACAAATGGTCACACATGATGCGGCATCATGGCAGCCACGGAACCGTAACGAGAAAATTAAATCCTTGCTTTGTTTGACTTGCCAAAGGAGCATTTTAAAAATTTCCAGCAACGCATTATTTTCAGGTCTCCCCGTAAACATTTATCATTTTTGGTCGCAAATTTTCAGGTTATAGACGACTTCAGAAGAGATTGTACGAAGAATATCTCGGAAGAAAATTCTGTCTTGCTCGCTTTTCCTCGCATGTTTCATGTTTCATTCAACTCAAAACGTTTGCCGCCTTTTCAGACGATCGTTTAGATCACACTGAAAAGTCCACATCATCAAGACGCGCCTCACCAGTTATGTATCGCCTCCTCGTATCCGACAAGGGCGAATGGAATATAACAATTAAATTGTTAGGTAGTTTCTTGTTGTTGTTGTTGGTTTTTATCAGCGAGTGCTTTCTTCACTCAAGTTTTGTTATATTTTCCTTTCCTAGGAAAGTGCTTGTTCTGCAATTTGTTATTGGTGTAGCTCTTGTGTGTGCTCCTGGCTTGGAGCCACTCTTTAATCTACTGGCTACTGGAAGCTTGTACCCTGGATCTCTTATAAGGTGCGTTTTAGGTCTAATAGCCCGCAAATATGGGTTATAAAGACACCCTCCTATTGAACAAGAAAATGGGTGATGGGGTCGAGGTTCGTTTTTCAGATGAGATTAAGCAATGAATTCTCACAAGGCCAATGCACAAACACAATGCTATCAATTTCTTGTCCCCTCTGACGTCACTTGTCTGTTTGCTAAGGAACAATAGGCCATGTGCCTCTGTTTCAGAACGAGTCTTCGTACAAAACCTTTCATGTGAAATTTAGGTTGATTTACATGAAAATGAACCTGTAGGCGGAAACATTTTCATATGAATGATTTCGCACGAAGACTCAGAGGCGCAAGGAAACTCGGAAATGGCCTATTGCGTGACAAGCTTAACAGGTAGTCAAGTCACGCAACGTCTTGGACAATCACCCAATGTTGTGACAGACAAAGATATGGGTGAATGATTACCTTTCGACAGACAACCGTCTGAAAAGTTTAATATCAAATGTCAACTGTTGTTTTTTTTTAAAGGTTTCAGCGTTGTGCAAAATATGATGACGGAACCGCCTGTCACGCAGTGTTCTTGGAGTTCTCATACAGTGTGTGGAATTTGACAAGAACGGCGATTTTCATCATGTTGTGCTGGACTGTTAACCGTCCATCGTGGAAACCCCCCAAGCAAGACTTCAGTGTGATCATGGAAAGATGTCTGGCACTTAACAAGAAAGCTTATTCACAGCTGTTGCTATGCGCAGCAGGGCTGCCACTCCTAATGAACGGTCACTGCTTGTCTCAAACTGTTCACAACATAACGTGCACAGCAAACCTGCTGTTGTTTCTGGTCACGCTGAACGGCTACCATAGTCGTACAATTTTGATGCTGTATCACGCGTTATGCACCATTACCATGAATGCTCAGAGCGTGCTGGTGGCAGTTTATAACATGTACAGGAACTTACAGACGGAGCGGAATGACTACGTAGCGACTCTTCTCTACATCACAGAGCTTTATTTGATGCTTCTTGTGCTAGCAGACAGCAGTACTCGAGTGATAAACAAAGTTAAGAATCCAGAGCTGGATATCATTTCACAAGACAGATGACCACACTGATTCCATTCTCTAGTTTATTTGCTGTTTCAGTTGTACAAACTTTCTACTGTAATCTGCCTTTCTATGGTCGTCACGCAACACCTAGTCACGCACTGTTAAGCCACTGATTGCCACTCAACTTTGTCACAAAGCAAGAGTTACCTGATGACCCGAGAAACGAAGACAATGCCTGCCTTACATAATGGTCAATGCGATTTGAAGAAAAATAAATAAAATGTTTGATCGATCATTCTTTTTGTTCCTTAACGGATTTGCGCTCTATCAACACAAGACAATTTACATTCAAAGTACCATTGTTAAAGGCTGGTCACGAAATCTCTCCATGGTCACACAATCTTTCCATGGTCACGCACACACTCTTTCAATTCTTACGTACACACGTCAATAATCAAGAGAAACTACATTACGTACTGGTCTATGTAAGAGGCTAAACAAGCGCGGGAGAACATCACAACGTAAAAATATCACTAACATTTGCCTACACCAGGAGCACATCACTGTGATGAACTCCTGCCTATACTACAAGCAGTCTCTTTCATCCCTACAGCATCGTAGACAGATTACACAGCGCGCATGTCTTGCTTGCTCCTTACTCGACAATCCCAGGGAAAGAATTTTATTTAATTCGACGTTGCGACGCAGGCTTACAGTTAAAGACTCATCATCTATTCAACATTTTTTCAGATTTAATAATTTAACCCTCCTTCCCCCCCCCCCCCCCCCCCNCTCCTAGCATAAATGGTATTGATTTACTTTTTAGTTACATCCTTTCAATGAAGATTGTTAATGGCTCTTTTCTACTCTAAGTATACATTGATATTGGACTTTTTGTCCTCATGGAGTTGCGATTTTCGGCTACTTCGAGCAATAAATATGGGCACAATGATGATAACAGTTTGTAATGACAATAAACCCGAAACTCTAAGACATCCTCACCCCACCCACACAAAAAGACCTGAGTGCAAAAGAAGCGAACCCTGACGGCTTCAATACTTGGTTCTAACTCCTGAACTCTCTTTCCCCATCCCAAGAAGAGTCCGATTATCAACCTACATGAAGAGTTATCACTTTGGCACGAAAGCATATTTAGAGGTCAACTTAGTCAACTTAAGCATCTTTAGAGGTCACCTTTGGGTGATAAGATGCTTATGGTCACGTCCTCATTTTATCAAACACGCAATTATGACACAACAACTTTCTAAGGTGCCTTTTCTAACCGGTTTCCAATGGTGTAACCGTAACAAAGCGAAACAACATAATTAAGAAAACGCCGAGAACGCGCGGGCGCTTGAAAGACTGTTTTTGGGTTTGAAGCTGGATGGTTTCTACATTTACGTTGTGGCCAAACGAGGAGAACTGGGGCGAGTCAAAAAGTTGGCCCAACTGGTGATTGCTAACACTAAGGGAAGGGACAGCGGGTCGAGTGACAATTAGAGTTTTGTTTTTCAATTTTACTGTTTCTTTCATCATCCTCCACTCCCCACTAAAACAAAACTAGCCCCATAATACTCGTACACGCGCACTCACTCTCGTCTCAGGCCCTCTATTTTTCTGTAATGAGCTCTTCTGCACTATTTGGTACAACACTTTCAGTTCATAAAGTCAGTCATTATTAGCACAGAGCATCTACTCTTACCTTTGTTTACATATAGTTTCACTTTTAAGTTTAATTTGAAGGCATTAATTTCTATCTACGAACGATATGAAAGAAGGAATTGAGTGGTTAGGTCGTTTCCGTGAGAGAATCTGTAACAAGTCGTTGTTCTTCTTTGTCAGACCTCGGTGTCTCCAACATATTCTCTGTTAAGATAAACAAACAGCATATTAGGTCGTCTTCGCATGGGCCGGCCGAGCCCGGCCAGAGGCTATTGAGTGGGTAACCTGTGGTACAAGCTGCTATTATCTCACGAACGTTATGTCATTACTTTTGAAACTCAAATTAAAAAAAAATCTTTCAAACTGCCTCAACATGTTTTTTTATAGGTAAATGTCTTATGTGCTAATGAAAAGCTAAGCTTTATCTCACGCATATCAAATGATTAGTTTTAAAAGTCATATTTACAAAACAAAACAAAACAAAATTTCAAACTGCTTCGACATACTTATAGGCGCATGTGAACTGTGCCAGTGAAAAGGGATTGACGTATTTTTGTTACCCCTACAAAGTCCCCACTAAAACGACGCGTACGACTTGAAAAAAGGGATTTCCTCGTAAAAGAAATCTCGCAAATGAGGGAATCAAATTTGTTTTACAAATTAAGTTTCTTTCAACATTGATGATCCTAGCAGTACGCAGGATGGATGACCTAGCTCGACATTAGTCTCCCTGTAGCTCGCACGGGAAGTCATAGGTTCCACTTCCATCGGACTCTCTAACTTTTTCTTTGTCCCACGCTCGTAGCAAACGAGTTTACATCTTTCTCATCTAATTTCTTGTAAATAAAATGCTGGTAACATGTAAAACGAGTATCCTTTCGTGGCATCATGCAAAATGAAAAAAAGCCCGGCACAGCTGACAAGAACCTACATGAATGTTTTTAAAGAGAATTTTGAATCTTATCTTAACTTAAGTTAGGTTAGAGTCGAGTTAATTTATCGGTTTTGTTTAAGTTTAATTTTATATCTTAATTTAGGCAACTTGCATTTTTCAATAAAATACCATAGTTTACTTTTTAACAAAAAATCGTTGATTTATCTGACTATTGTGATAAAACACTTGGACATGAAACATGTGATTATTTAAAATAATATACTGGTATACAGTTGAACCCCGCGATAGCGAACTCAGGGAAACAACAACAAAAAAATACTTCGAGACAGCCGAGATAAATGACTGAAAAAGCATATCCAAGGCTGGGGCGGACACGGTATTTTCGAAAAGGGGGTTCGAGACACGGACCGCCAAAGCCGGTCCCCTGAGAGGGGGTCCAGCAGCATCATACCACAGGAAATTTTTAAAATTGAGGTCCTTGGAAATGGGATTTCTGGCATTCTGAGGCCAAGTAAGCGTGTTATAATGTTAACCCCCCTACATCCACCCCAGCAAGGGAAAATGATTTCGGTTCGAAATAGCGGGGAGTTCGAGATAGAGGTTCAACTATACATATAAATGTTATCTTTTTTTTTATTTAAACTCTAAGTTAAGTAATGTTAAAGGTGATCCCCTGGTTCAAAACTTTCTGCTTTCAATCATTACATAATTTAAGTTACTTCACAGCAGGAAACGTTTGCCCTGTGAAGGGTTTCCTTAAAAATTCATTGAAGCATTGACTAGCCTCGTCCAGGCGTTCAGTTAGTTGCCCCAACTAACTGAACTCCTGGAAGAGGCTTGACGTAAAGCAGAACATTTTGAGCAGGAAATAGGCGGGTTAATTCATTGTTAGCTATGCAAAAGCTTTGAAAAGTGTTAAAAGTTGTTAGTTTACAAGGATATTAAGGCAAGCCTACCTCTGTACCTTATACCTTCACCTCATTTATGGCCAACAAATTGCGGCATTTTTTGACTGGATTATGGAAGAGCAGAAAAAGACATTAGTTCTAAGTTCAAAGCGTTTAGATCAGTTCTAGGACGCGCAGCAGTGCAAGGAGCCTGGTAATCAATCAGTCCTATCACGTGATACCTTTGTCGTATGTCACCAGTTAGTCATGTGCTGGTCATGTGCTCACTGCGGACTCTGGAACTGAGTGGTATTGGTTTAGTATCTCTTTGAAGTTTTTACAACTTTAGTTTACGTTTAGGTAGCCTGCAGAACAGGCGGATTAGCGGGGAAGAGAGCGAAACGCGATACACGAGCGTGTATCACGTTTAGCTCTCTGCTCCGCTAATCCGCCTGTTCTGCAGGCTAACTTTTAGGTCATAAACAGTCTTTCGATTCATAAACTCTTAAGGACAAAGTGACGGGGGAGGGGAGGGGAGAGGGGAGGACAAGAGACGAAAATGTAAAGGTGGTGAGAAGGAAGGGGAGGAGAGGGTAGAGGAGAACAAGGGATGGGAGAGAAAGGAAGACATGGACGGCTGGATAAACGATCAAAAGACTGTTTTCAAGTTGCATGCGTTTACTTAGAGGTGCATTTAGATATTTAACCTAGACGTCAACCATTCACTTCAGTGATGATAAAACTAAACTCACGCAAATTCAACTACTCAAAATAATTATTGGGACTTTTTAGTAAATTTAAAAATGTTTAGGAGAGGATAGCTATATGAAGCTTCCGTTAAATTATCCATTCATTTAATTGTTTATACACCTAACAAATTCGAAAGAAAATTTAGTGAAAGTTCTTGTTAGTGTCACTTTTCAACTTCCAAAAAGCCCTGGATATTAAGCAGGAATGTTTTTTTTTGTTTACAAAATAACACACAATAAATCAAATTCTGGGAAGTACTGTTTGCCACAGGAAGTATGAAAAGCATGTCTGGAATTTGGGGCATTAAGTACAATCAGTGTGATATTTAATGACCAAATGAATTTAACACAATTATATGACACTAGTTCAAGTTTACTCCTTGATACACTTAAATGTGACAAACTCGTAGTGAGAAAAAAACAAGCAAAAAGCAATACTGATGCGTAGTGCAATAAAATAGATTTAACTCAGCCGTGACACAGTTCATTCAAGTATGGGGAAGATAAACACGAATTAAGAAGACGTCCTCGCAAAAAAAAAATTGGCTTAATTTTCAAACTGCGTCATGTGTGACCTAGTAGCTTGTACAGTGTACTTACATGTCAAGGTGTTTAACTGCATCACTTGTGCACATGGCTGTGGTCTCGTAATGGCAATTCCTGTGTGTCACCAATTTACATTCTGAAAGAAAGATTAACACAAAAGGACTGAAGCGTGTTTTCGTGACGGATTAGTGTGGACGGTAGGCGTAACCGTAGAAATAAAGCTGCGTTTTCAAATTTCTCCGGCGTAGTGTGGACGTGGCCAGAAAGAATGAACTTACATTCTTTTTCGTTTTCTACCAATTTACTTTCCCTTCTTTTTTGAAAACGTATACGTGACTTAGGTATAGGTTAGGAAGTCTACCCGACGAATGGCTGTCCAGTGGATAGCGTTGACTATTTATTACCTCTACACTGATAGCCTTGTTTTCCGATTTTTCCTTTGATTGCTTTCCCGCATACACCGCATTCTGGAGGGCTATTCGAAGAAACAAAGAGGAATACAATTAAAACAAGCAGTAAAGGAAAGGACAAATACTTCAATCCCTGTTCAAGGTGGTTCTAGCTTTTCTGTCTGTGGATGAAACCCTAGTGTAAGACCATTCAAATGAAAGCAATTGAGCAGTACTTTCGTGTGGTACTGTTTATTATGCTGTGCAAGGTGGGTCTAACTTTTACGTCTGTGGATGAAACCCTAGTGTGTGACCATTCAAATGAAAGCACATATGGTAGTGCTTATTTTGCTATACAACGTTTCTCTAACTTTTAAGTCTCTGGACGAAATCCAAATTCAAATGAGAGTTACTCATACTTATTTTTGAAATATTCCTGTAAGAAAATTGGTAGTTTTCGACATTTCAAATTTTAGTAGTATCAATGAAACAAATGCCATCCTGTGTATCAATTTCACAGGTTCAAACACCCAACCTGTTAACACTGTTGATTTGGAGATGAAATGTTTTCCAGTACAGGATTGTACTCCAAAAAAAAAAAAAGGAAAATTAATATTTACCTTCCAGAGAAGTGGACTGCTGTGAAAATGTGATCATTGTAGATGTGCAGCTTGTTGCCTCCTTTCTCGTAAGCTTGTCTTTTGGCCATGACAGGTGGAATGTGTGAATATCTACGAACAAAAGTGTTTTATGTCTAGAAGAGTTTCACGGAATGAAGAAGAATTAAGATCCTCGTTAAGCCACTTGATGAGTGTGATAAAACGTGTCTGTATTTGACTTAAACAATTTGAAAACAGTCTGTTCTCAGCCCGTTTTTGGAGGACCAAGGAAGCACTTTCGTTCCTCAAGTTTCAATTTGAAACTTTCTGTCCTCCATTGTCCATAATCCTAAGAAATGAACGAACGAACAGACCAGCAAGTCATTAATTGACCGAGAGACAAGTACAAATGAACGAACAGAAGAGAAAACGAACGAACGAACGAACGAATGAACGAGCGTGCGTGAGCGCGAACCAAAGAACGACCCACCGACCAACCAAATGAACGAACGAACAAGCGTGCGATTAAACTAACGACAAACGCACAAGCGAACGAACGAACGAACGAACTAACGAACGAACTAACAAACGAAAAAACGAAAGAACGAACAAGCCTACGAGTGACCTAACAACAAACGCACGAGCAAACGAACGAAAGCTCGGACACAGGAACAAAAGATTTCTGTCTAGATTTCCTAGGAAAGCCTTACAACTCATGGCAAACAAGGAGGAACTAAAAACGGATAAGGTTGTGTTCTTACTTCTTCTTGCCGTTGTGCACTGACTCAATAACCAATGTAGAGTACGGATTGGGTGAGTAGCTGAGAAGTGAAGACTGACTGGTTGATTTACCTGCACAAAAAAAAAAAAAGAAAAATGTTACATCCTTTCTCGTTATGGAAGAAAAAGTGAGTTAATACTGCCGATCAGGATGGTCAATTAGATCCCCGTTAACATGGTTGCCAGAGGCCTTGAGCACTATTTAAAATTCCCTACCTTTTTCCGGACTTTTCCCTGGTAAAAATCAAATTTTCCTGACTAAATAAATACAAAATGTCAGATCCAGTAGCAGCTTCTGGTCTCAACTTATAGCCGTCCTTTTCGCCCATTCATGAAGACTCATAAGTTTTCGACACATTTTCCTTATTCATTAAGGAAAAATATCGCTGAGATCAACGTGAACCCAAATGTTTCGCTCAGCCCTTAATGGTATTAAATCAGCAGTGTTAAGCTATTTCAATTTTCCCTGACTCAAAATAAAATTCTCTGACTTTTCCCTGATCTTGAACAACTTTGTCCCTGACTATTTCCTGACCTGTGGCAACCATGTTTAACCCTGTTCCCCCACAAAACGCACTATTTCCTCCCCTCCCCGCCCCCCCGCCCCCCCTAAACTCATCACCTATGAATACGACCACACCCAAAACATCGTATAAGGATACTTACGCAAGTTGGAGGGGTCTGGGACGGGCAGATCCCCTGCATGATAAGAGTGTCTGATTGGATCATCCCTAGACAGGACATTTTCTTCGTCCTTGTCTGTCCCGCTCCTATCTGCTGCGCTCATGCTTACTGGTCTTTTCCTAAAAAGATTAAACGATCTACGCAGCTTAGGTTTTGTGTTCAGTTCTGAAGCTTGCTCCAGCATCTCTTCCTGTTCTTGTGTTTTCTCAGTTTCTGGTTCGTTTGTGACTTCCTGTTCTTGTGTATCTTCTTTCTCATCCTCGTTTACACTTTCTTTCTTGTCTTCTTCTTCTTCTGCAATTTCCTCTTTCTCAACTTCTTCTTGCGTTTCTTTGTTTTCTCCTTCTGGTTCTTCACTTGCCACAACTTTCTCTTCATCCTTAATAGCTTTCTTATCAGTTTGTTTTCTTTTAAATAACCTAAAAGACCTTCGCGTCTTAGGCTTCGTTTCAGCGACTTCTTCTTGTTCTTTTGTTCTCTCACTTTCGTCTTCTTTTTCTTCTTGATTCTCTTCCTCTTTCTTATCTTCCTCTTTCTTATCTTCCTCTTGAGGTTCCTCTTGGGGTTCTTCTCGAGTTTCCTCTCGAGGTTCCTCTTCTGTTTCTTTCTTCTCAATCTCCACCTCAGTAACATCAGGTGTTTCCTGTCAAAACCATAAAACTAACAATGTACTGTATGTATGTACATATTTTATTACTCCCGCCTGCCCACATAAAGTTTTCTATCACTAAGTGCATAATTAAATAAACACACTAAACACAACAAATATATATTATCGCAGTACGCAATTGTTTGGCCACAAGTCATTTTTCAAATCTATGGGCTGGTTCCTCAGAGCGGGACTAATGATTAATTTTGTGTAGTGATCCACTTGTGTTTCCAAAACTCCGTAGAAACACGTACATGTAACACGTTTTCCTTTTCTTGAATTCAGTAGAGTCGAGCCTCTCTTTACGGATATCTCAACAATACTGACACCCCTACATTACGAACAGTTCACTCTGCCTCAGAGAATCAAGTGTTCAAAGATTCTCTATCTCTATCACATGGACACCCAGCTCTGTCCCTCTGTTATCCTTATTTTAAGGGTTCGACTGTACCTCGATAGGCATTTTAACCGGTTCCTCAACAGGTTCTTCTATCTCCACCTTCTCGTGAGATGGCCCAGCTTCTGGTGTTGCTATGACAGCAATTGGTGCAGGCGGTTCCTTGGGTGATTCAGGCTCGGCATGTTGTTCATCAGTGCTATCTCCATTGTGATGATATTCAGCAGGCTTAGGTCTTTCTTCGTTTGCTTCATAAGCTTCGATCTCCATGGCCAGTTCATCCAGACTTGACTCTATGTAGCGTTTACGAACTGGAATGTGTCCGTTTAACTCCACACCAGGTTCCTCACCGTTCATGAAAACCGAGGCTGCCTCTTCTGATGGGGTGCTCTGGGCACTAGGTCCCTCAGGATCTGATACACAAGTAATAAGACATATTTTGTTCATGTTCTTTGACAACTCCTTATCATCTTATTGACGTTTTTTTTTTTATAAATGGGTACAAGTGCGCCATTAGTGCAAGTTGACAAATTGATGGGGAGGACTGAGGATTGAGATGGGGGGAGGGGTGGGTGGGTGGACGATGTAACCTACGATGGGCTTGTATTTAAACCCAAAAAGAGCACAGATCCACGCAAGCAAGTAAAACTGATTGTACTGTATTAGAACTAATGAGATATTAGGTTTTGTTCGTAGAGTCAATACCTAAAAACCTTGTGCTGTAACTGAACTATGGAAAGTATACATTACTTGCAAAAATTTCGGACGATTTTAATTTGGACAAAAAGTGTCCTAAAATAAAATCTTCCGAAATTTTCAAGCCTCTAAAATATTTACAGTACAGTATAAAACTTTGAAGTAGCTCCAAAGCTCTTACTTTTTTTCATGCTAGGCTTTATGGGGCGAACTCTTATTGAGACCCTGCTTGAGATATGTTAAGAAAGTCCAAAAATTCTAATTTACTTGAACATTTAAAAAGGTCCGAAAAGATTTCAAGTAAAGACGAGAAGGGCACCTACCACTCGACAGTCTTTTTCGCTCAAACCCGCTAACAAGAGGCAGTGTGGCATCAATAACTTTTCCATCCTTATCAAAAGTGAACTGCAAAAGAGAAGGATAACAATACATGTATTGTTTTAGCTGGATTCAACAAACTGGGCAGGAAAAAAAAAAGCAAGCCAGATCAAGATTAGTTCATAGACGCACACTAACCGTCGTACACAATCTGGAAAATTTGCGTAAAAAAAACAAAAAACATTTACCCTTTGTAAGCCATTTTTTTTCTTTTTTTGCTTCGACGAAGGGTTAACGCTGGAAACACTAGTTAATTTAACTCTATGAAATTCAACTTTTTCTTAATTTTGTAATCTAGTTATTAATAAAAATGTTTAATTAGATCTTGACAGCCTGGCCCGCCTAGACTAGCACTAGCTATCCGCGGGCCCGTCAAACTGTAAAAATGTAAAATGGACGAAAATAAAGATGTTGTTGTTGTTGTTGATAAAAATCAGCTTAGTGATTCACTTTCCCATCGATACACTGCCCGGTAAGCTGGTTAGAAATAGAGCAAAAATAGACGCTCTAAAATTCACAGCCACCTTCTGTGACCCTCTTTAGAGAATGATTTACAAGAAAACTACGAATGGTAAAACAAATAACGTCTGCTTGATCCTCGAGGCAAATATTAGAAAACTCTACGTGTTGTAGACAAGAACATTATATAATTAACATGAATTGTCCTAACCTCTAAGGTGATGTCTCCTTTAGAATGTTCACTCTTTGATGACTTGGGCAGAACAGGGAGGATCAGACGGCAGGTCTGGTCTCTGTTTACAGTTGACAGAGGCACAATCACCTGACCAAGGTAGTCATCTATGAAGAGAATGTTTTAAACACTCAATTGAATATACAAAGCGTTTTCACAAGGTCATTCTATGTCAAGTACTGAGCTCATCCCTAAAAAGATCATATTAAGGACATAGAATCATAGGTTTGCAATGCGTGCAGAGAGGGCCATGCATGCATGAAGGGAAGGTACAATGTACTTGAACGTAACTGTTTCCGGATTACACAGTTCAAACGGGGGGTAGAGGTTAAATCATTTTCAGATAGCTACGTGGTTTTATGCGGACATTTGAGAAAGTCTTTTAATCGTAAATTATTGTCAAACGAAGTAAATTTTCTTTATTACACGTCAAATATATTTGTCAAAGTGTGTTGACGTTTTCACACCGTTTCACCGGTCATACGTTGTGTGAAACCCAAATCCCTTGTACCCCACAGGGTTTCTTATTTCCCCTCTTTGGCGGTGCTTATGGAAAAGACCTTTTCACGGTTTTCGACGCCATCTTGATGGGTAGGCAAAGCGGTCAGAAATTACAGTGTTTGTATGGGAAATAAGCCAACTAACCTTTTCAAAAAATTGAATTTTACACAATTTGTGAATCCCAACGTTAAAATACTACGAAGAAGATTGAATTCACCACGTTTCAAGGATGTAGCTTGGCTAGAAGACGCTCAGTTAATTTTTCTAATTTTCCATACATTTGTCTGTATATTTGGCTGGGTAGACGCGGTTCGCGGGAAATGGAAAGAAATACAGACAAATGTATGGGAAATTAAAAATTAACTGAGCGTCTTCTGGCCAAGCTACATCTTTCAAACATGGTGAATACAACCTGCTACCTGGTCTGGCAAAGTTGCGATTCATAAGCTGTGCAAAATAAATATTTAAAAAAAGTTATTTGCCATCCGATTCCTTTACAAACACTGTAATTTCTGACTACTTTGCCTACCCGGCAAGATGGCGTCGAAAACCGTGATAAGGCCTTTTACGGCTACCAGATGTGTGAAAACATTATCCCTTTGTGTTTCAGGGACGCACCTTGACAGATATTTTTGGTAGTGTTTTCAAGGAAATTTAATGTTTGTACTCAGGCTTGATTAGTCTAGTGACATTTTTTAAAAGATTTTAATTATGCTACTCAGTAAGTTTACAGTCATTTCAAACAGTATTTTATCTGAATGTTTAGCCTTACTTACAAGTTTGTACAAGTTGTAGAAAAAGTTTAAGTGCTTTTTATTCACCTTGCTCTTCTGTAAGCTCATTGTCGCCCATATGACAGTTAGAATCTGTTTAAAGACATTTAATATCATAAAACACCCTAAAATATTTTTAAAAAAATATTTTAAAAGGTTTATTTTGAACAAAGGTTGTAACCAAATTTAAAGAAAAAAATTTTTAAAAAAAGGCCTACATGAAAAATTGTTTAGCAGGTGAGCTTTAGTGAAAGGTTTAATGCAAATGATGTTTATGAAAAATGTTCTTTAATGATTAAAAAAAAGACTTTAAATGTTTATAAATAAAAACAAAAGGAAATAATGCACTTAATGAATGCACTGGTTTTATGATTATGTCTAATTTTATGTTAAAGATTTTTTTTACTTACTGAAAAATGTGCATAACTGATGATTGAAATGTGACAGGCATGAAAATAATTGCGATATTTACTTTACTCCAGACTTTTTAAATGGTAATTTAACATAGAATACAATGTTTTAATGTTAAAAATGTTGTCAGTTACATGCATCTTTAATGAAACAGGCAAGTTAAAACTATTTTCAAGGCGCAGTGCACAAGTTAAAACTATTTACAAGTGCACAAACCATGAGGTCACCACACCTCCCATAAATTACTCTTAAATATACTGATAATCTGGCCTGTACACCTAACCATTACTACACTAGCTATACCAATCAACCACATGTATCAAGAAAAAATAAAATTCAGGTAATGGCCCGTTCCTTCCATGAGATGTGCCTGCAGAGGACCATGGTATACATCTAGTTGTAATCATCACCTTGGAATGGATATTTGCTTTGATGAATACAACTACCATGATTCCCTGCAGGCCCATCTCGTAGAGGGAGTTGGCCATTTATCAAGCTTAAAGTAATAAATCTATAAGTATAGAAGTTTTAAAATTACAAAGTTAACTAATTTATCCATCAAAAGCAACATACATTCATGACAAAATTGAAAGTTACATTTCACACAACTCACAGAACTCCAAAATGTTAACTCACCTTTCTCAGTTTTTTCATAGTTGTATATGTCAATTGTGATGTCTTTGGTTTTTGGATTGATATCACTGAAGAGAACACAAAAACATTATTGTCAGCAAAAGTTGATGATTTGTAAAAAATCACAAATTTGAATTATAATTACAGTGGTACATGTACANTTCAATATACTGCAAAATTGAGCTTCTCATGACAGCATTCACAAAATTATTAACTCGCAGACTTTTCAGCTTATTCTAAATGTATGTAAAGTTAACATTGGGATGTAACCATAATTAATTTCTATCTGCTAAACATCACACTGCTAAACTTCTTCTTGTTGTATACAAAATGTCTCTATGGAGAGGTTAAGACTAAGAAGCAATTTAATATTCAAGAAGGTAAATATGAAGTCAACACCTTTAAATAATAAATAAAAATAATTGGGAAAAACTGTGAAATTTGACAAACTTAATGGTTAAAATCTGAATTTCTCACTCAAAAAATATCTTTGTCCATTTTAAGATTGCATACATGTACCTACTAACTGATATTGAATTTTAAATTTTACTGTCAGTAATAGACAGGACTGAATAAAATATTTAACCTGAAGATGATTAGGTTTATATCAAGTCTAGCACTCATATACATTGTAGCTAGTCAATGCTTGAAGACTATTTCACTGTACATTTAAACAACATCAAGAGAACTTCATACAATAAGTAAGATAAAAGAACACAGTGTGAGCACAGAGAGAAACTTATCTTACCTTTGCACGCTGCCGTCCATTCATAAACACATAAACATAGACATTGACAAAGTAGTTGTTTTCAATCTGTACATGTGAACTCTTCATTTCGAAATGTTTTTCCTCTTAAACGTTACGGTCCAAAAGACAGTTCTTGAACGAGGAGGAATATTTTGAAGCGAAAAGGTTCTCTTAAACATTACAGAGCTCTCAGAGTGAAGCTCTACAGGAAACACAAGAATCAAAGTTATTATTGTTGTGAGCCTGAATTCAGCTGGCTACAAGACATTATTATTCAAAATCATGATGAAACTCTAAGCTTGAATTAAATATTGCGAGTTTAAAAGTAAGTCAATGAATATTTATGACATTAAAAACAGAATGCCAGCTACTTGTGTCTTTTTCTCTGAGTAATGTACAAATCTCCCTCCATTTTAAGTACAATATACAAAGCCACACTCCAGCCTAGTCAACCATTGAAGAAGACAGTTCCTTAAATTAATTATTTATGTGAAAAGAATTTGCATGACAACACTTCAGCAGGTGTCAGTTTTATTGAATTCAAAGAAGAAATAAATTTCTCAAAGATTAAATTCAACATAAGTTCCAGTTTTGTCAAGCAATGCTACATTTTTATTGATTAATACTCCAAGTCAACCCAAGTCAACCTAAGTAAACCATAGTCAAGAAAACATTAAAGAAATTGTTACTTCTTTTTCAACAAAAAAAGAGTCCGCTGAATGCTATAATTTAAATATAAACTAAGACAGGAGTTTTCACCGTCAGAGAACATCTGCTTTTTATATACTTAATTTGAAAGCTTCAAGCCTAGGGTATCATAAATTATGCCTGAAAATCAACACAATACTTTCTTCAATGGATGTTTACAAATATGCATATTTTATTGTCTGTTTGATGATTTGAGTTAAAATATTAGGGTTGGCTGTTCATGAAGAAGGAAAAAACTTGTCTTTTTGACCAACCAGCTTATCAAGTGCAGAGTTGGTTTTCTACAATGTAGTGTGAAGTGAGAGGAGTATAATACTACAAAGCTGTAAATTTCATTAACTGCAAAATTGTCAGTCCATTGCAGGTTAGCCTGCAGCCTTTTGCCAGGTGGTCCTATACTACATGTAAGCCTTTGGCTTCACTTGAATGTTGTTTATGTCGGAAGGAGGCACTGCAGAAAACAAAATGTGTTGTGCCCAAGAATACCCGTTTAAACTTGGCCATAGTAGAATCATGCTTGTATTAAACAAAAGGCCATTGTGCCTCCCTCAAAAAAAAACTGAACTGTCCCATTGCATTAATATAAATGAAGAGAAAGACCATATTCTGCACAAGGTCTACACCTGCATACATGTAGATACTATTAAAAACTCTTTGAGTGACAATAAACAACTAAATTCTTCAGGAGTTCCATTTAGGGCCGGGTACCAGACAAATTGACAGGCTGTGGGGACGATTATGCCTGCCTAGTTTGACCATCTAGAGGAACGCTTTTCTTGTAAAGATGTTCACCTCAAAAACTTTTGCACACCTGTGGAAGCCAGTTGTCCTCCTGCTGAAAACGTCAATGAAAACCGATTCTCATCCACTTTGTTTCTTACATTTTCCGTAATTTGGGTTTTCTAAAATGATCAAATTTTTGATTCTCTTTACTTGCATAATTGAAAATGTGATACACTGTACTTGTGGTAAGGAGAAATAAGGGAGTGAGTCACTTTTGGAGATTACCACAACAAAGTGCTTGACTAAATTAATTATGTTTAAACAAATTTCTAGTCAGAATTTTTAAAATAATAATTATTATAATAAACTTTTACTATAATTTATGATAAGATACCCTTTTACATCTAATAGTAATAATTAATTTATAGCATGTTCTCAGCCGATTTTGGCACCACCTATTGTACTTAGCTCAGTCCAGCTGTACTACATGTATGCTTGTGGCCCAAATACATTGTTAGTAATAACAACCCTTTCATTCATAAGCTCAAAAAATCAAAATCTCCGTGTCCTCTATCCTGGTTGAATTGGAATTTAGAGACGCTGGTTTTTGTGGAGGAACGAAAACCAGAGAACCCGGAGAAAAACCCTCAGAGCACCAACAACAAACTCAACCTACCTAATATGGCATCCTGCCAGCATAGAACCACTGCGCCATCCCTGTTCTTCCCAGGATAAGCAGAGGCTTGTCTAATTATCAAATTAACACAATAGTACGCAGGGGTTTCATTAGGGGCTGGGTACTGGGCAAATTGACCAGCTGTGAAGACAATTTTGTCCCCCTCTGGTTTGACCATCTAGAGGAAAGTTTTTCTTATAAAGAAGTTCAGTTCAAAAAGTTTTTGCCGCCTTCTGAAAACATTTATTTAATGAAACCCCTGCGAATTGAATTTTTTAATTGCTGACAGAAATAAAAATGTCAACTTACTGCATCTGAATTTAGCCGGTCCCTGGATGAGGCTTCTGACAGAGGTATATTAGTGATGGTTTTACAAATTACTTCCTTGACTTTCTCTTGAACCTCACCAGCATCTACTTGACTCTCCTTAAAGCAAAAATTTACAAAACTTTTCTCACTTATTTCTCAATAACCATAAATAACAGCACAAATGAGCATGTGAAAGAAAGACAGCTATTTTGTTCTACAGAAAAACAAATTATGTCTGCTTAATTTAATACCAATTGTAACTGACTCCTCTGTAATAGTGATAAAATGATTATTGTAAGTTGCATGTAATCAGATTGGGGCTGGAGCCGGCTGGAGCAAGACAACCTACATGAGAGCTTTAGGTGGGGCCATTACCTTTTTCAAAGGGGGGGAAGGGGGTTTGGGCAATTTTCTGGTGCAGGAAATGTTTTCCTCACCTTTCGGTTGTGCATGATTTTTTGGGTAGGCGATAACTAGTCGGAGCAAGATTTGTTTCAACATTAAAAATAGGACCTGGATAATAGACAGCACTTGCTTGAATTTTTTTTTTCCACGGCCCCCATTGCACGGTTTCACTGTGCAGGAAGCTTTTTTTTTTTTTCNGGAGGCCTGGCTCTCGGTGAGATTGCCTTGTAGAGAAAAAAATATATTTATTTGCCAAAATTATTCAAAATATTCATAGAAACTTTGCACAGAAATTTTGACGATTAACAACTCATGTACAGGGGTCCCTTAAACATTTTCAGCAAGAAGGCAGCTGGTTTTCACAGACAGGCAAAACTGTTCAAGAAAAACTATAGCAGAAAAACTTTCCTCAAACCTGTTAATTTATCCAACCCTTACCAAAACCTCTGTTAGTGAAAATTAGTTCTATTTTCTAGTTCTACCATTCTACCAAGTGCTAAATTCTCAAACCTTACATTAACAGATCTTTACACATACATGTACTACTATAATGACAATTGGCAAAAGAGTATTTAAATTTTAGTCCATGTTTTTACCTCTCCAGTTAGTCTGACCACGCGCACTTCCATGTTAGTAGTTTTTGATCCATTACCAGTCAGATTAAGAACACGAACTAAGAAACCAAGATCTGCTGACTCCACATGAAAAGTGATGCACTGTTGTTATATTGAAATAAATGAATTTAATAATCACATAATTATGAGCGGTTTTCAATTGAGTGTCAAAAGTATTATTAGACAATTACTTTGGCATGGGTTTTACTATTATTTGATATTGGCTGACGAGTAGTCTAATTGGTAAGTAATTGGTTTGGTTTGGTTTTACAATACTCAATTGAAAACCGCTTGTCTTGCAAGACATACACACTGTACATTAAAATTAATAATGTGTTGCCCAATAAATAAGGCTGCATAATATTTCTTCACATTAAACATGTACATGTACATGTACTGCAGATCTGAGACTAGAAACCAGACAATATTAGCTATTGGTTAGTCAGTAATAATCAATTGATGAAAATTTAAAATACTGCATGGTACATTATTTCATCAAACTTT